ACTTATGAAAGTTAAGAAATCAACAATTTGGGGTGATAAAAACGACCATGAATGTATTGAAGTTAAACCTTCTTACTCTGCAAATTATGGGATCTCATCATGCACGAGACTAGTATTTCATTGAATGCTCAAAAAAGGCAATACTTCACAGAAGGATTGGAATATAAAATATTTGAGAGCTGCTTTTGCCTATCTGTTTCAGTTTCACTAATAAAACTACTGTAAAATGACGGTGAAAAAAATCTGGTCGAACCAACACAAGTTTTGAAAGCAGTTACCATGCTAGCTTTGACCTAGATGACACAGCCTCTTGCATTCGAACCATTTCTTCCATTTATCCCTCCAGGACTCTGGTTTATACTGTCATCTGGAACATACAGATCAGATTACTTATTTTCCATCTTATTAAACCTGCAGATTTTGGCCATGAGAAATTAACATTATGAATGATGATATGGGATGAGATGCTCAAAACCCAAACAGCCAATTGAAAAGATTAAATTGAACTGTTCACCTTTGCTGCTCGATCTGGAATACTCTCTACGGGAGTTTGGGTTAAACGAGCATCCTTGGCCTTCAAGTAGTTGTACATAACAACACCACATAAAGCTGTAGAAAAGTTGACAACGTTAATATGCCTTCAAACATCAAATTGCTCAAATTTCAAATTTAACATTGAAGAAGGGTACCAATAGCATATCCAATGATATTTAGCTGGGTGATTGTCGACTCTGGAAAAATAATGGTCGAGAGTGTAATGAGTATCCAGTCTTTGAGGACCCCAGCAACTCGAATGGTCACTGCACCAGTTCTACCAATTACTAAAAAAATGGAGAAGTTTAAAGCCAAGGCGCAAAGTGCATTCGAGAAAAAAATCCAGAAATTAAATTGGATCTGTGTGACTTCCATTCCAGGCTTCTCCAAAAGATACCATGGAACAAAGAGAAACACAAAGCTGCACATAAAAAGAAACAAGGTAAGAACTAGCATCATGAATAAATATAGCTGCAAGATAAAGATATAAATACATTTCCAACATAAAGGACAGTGAAGAAAGAAAAAACAGGAGAGATTTTGTCTCGTGTAATCATTTCAACAAGTACTTAATAAAGTAGCTAGACAAAATTATACAGAACATATCTAGCAAAAACAAGAAATAAGCGGAGACTGCATCTAAGTCATAGGTTTTATTCAGAAGTGGCATAAATGAAAATGAAGCTAGATTCTTGAGACTCAAATAAATCATTTTTCAACCTCTCTTCAAATCGTATTGTCATATCTTAATATTTCCTCTGAAGATAGATCATTTGATTTCACTGTTACAGCACTAACTTCTAAGGACAAATTGATCCCACTAGACAAATCAGGGGCAATATTGAAGTGCAACTATTACCACCTAGAATTTTTTTGCCTGTAATATGTCTCTTCTAAACTGAAGTTAAGAGTGAAAATATTTATACTTCCCCACTCTTATTTTACTATAACANTTTTTTGCCTGTAATATGTCTCTTCTAAACTGAAGTTAAGAGTGAAAATATTTATACTTCCCCACTCTTATTTTACTATAACACCATTTCTGGCGTATTCAACAACCCATAGAAGAAGAATACCTGCAAGGAGCAATGTAATATAAGCTCGTGACAGGATTGAGGGTTAAGCCCTTCTTCTGGAGTAGAACTTGTGTTATGACCAATCTAAGAGCTTCAGCAAATATTCCCGTAACTTGATAAACTGTACCCACTATGTTAAAGTGGATTTCCCCGTATGAAGATACGACTACACCAACACTGACCAAAAGCATGTTCAAAAATAGATCACATCTTAATTTGTCAGTGCCGCATATAACAGCCATGAGAAAAGTGGCCACTGGCACTGTCAAGGGTGTAGAGAACAAATCCAATTAGCAAATTACTTGATATCATCAACTTAAAACTATTAACAGAAAACATATAAGCATACTTAGGGCTTTGAGCATCTGGATGAAGGCCACAGAGATGAACAAATACGCAGTATTGCCAAACCTGTACGAGCACACACTATTATTAGTGAACGAGAGAAAATCTGCATCATAAGAAAGTTATTTCACGATAGCCATCCTCCAAATATGCAATATATGAGTAAAGGAACTGAATGAGGCGAGAAACATTTATAATATAAGTCATCTAACAATAACATAGTTATAGCATAAAAATGTTCACTGATGTTCAAATAGATCACAGTTAAATAATTCGTTGTTTTATCAGACAACAGTCAATGAAAAACCCACAAGAGGAGTGATTGCTTTAAAAGGCAAAGCCTTGCTGAATATATGTCGGTGGGGGATTGAGAAGTGGGCGAGAAATGAGAGCATTTCAGTCTATACTGGAGCTGGACAGCATTTTCATTCTCAAAGCATGGGATATCAGGCTAACGGTCAACACAAGTATCCAACTTAAATGCTGTTTTTGCCTAATCAATAAACACAAGAAAATCACTATTAATAATTTAAGTATCTGTTGAACAGTTTGCAATATTAAGGCATGAATGGATGCCCAAGGTAATTAAGGAAAAGGTGTAAGGTCCCAAAAATGTCACATACTAGAATTTATTTATTTAATATACTATATCTTAAATTTGGAAAGTTTGGGGACTAAAATGATAAATATTTTAAATTCAATTTTAATTGGGTCAAATATTTAAATAATGATAGAGTAATGATAAATATATCAATATTGTACTCGTTGGATAGCTTGTAATTAATTATGTATATTAGGCTCGAGAAAAAGTCGATTCAGATAAATCAGCTCTAAAATATTTCAGTTTGAAGAAGTTGATGAAAACTAGTTTTGCAGTTTAATTGAAACATTGGATGAAAATGTACCCCGCCACGTGTCACGTGTATGGAGTGTTTCATTTTGATTTTGAATTTGTTGGAGGTTAGTGCACGTGTATGTTAAATGATGGATAGGTAGTTTTATTTTAAAATATTTTATTTGCCTAGGTTTTTGGGATATGATAGTGATAGACTACCATGTGTTGATTAGACAGGGAAGAAATAATGATGTATGGAATTGAGACTTTATGGGAAAACACGGCTTTTTGACAAACTTTAAGCCCTACTAAAATTCAATATTCTCTTTCACCTTTAAATAACATAAAAAAAGTTTTATCCCAGAAAATTTAGATACTCGTATACAGTGGTAGCATAAAAAATAAAAAATAATAAAAAAATAAAAAAAGTTTGGAACATGAATTTGGATCGTCTTTCAAAAACTAATTTATCTCACGAGGTAGAATATTGAGGTGCAGAGTATTCTATCCCGTTTAATTATTTTTTTCATGTTGATGAATTATTTTACTCATGAAAGCTAAATATATGATATGATATGCTATGATATGATATGATATGAATGATACGACCATTCCAGTGCAAATGATATGATATGAGTTCTTACCGATTTCTAAAAATATGAGACGATATGATTTTTCTGATACATGTTTTAAAATTTTTACTTGGCATTGTGTTAGACCCGCAATACAGGTCACCTATCAAAGACGCAAGGGTAGAAGATGAAATACACAGGGAGAATAAGCCACATGCACGGTTACATGATATGGTTGGGGGAATAGTCTAGAAGCAAAACAGCCTATAAATAAGAGAAGAAATTGGCAACTGGGGGAGGAGAATTTGGCATTCAACAGGAGAGTGGTGAACCTCTCGAATGTTCACAGCTATATCTTGTTATTTTCTTCAGTTCTTGTGTATTTTTTATTTAATCGTCCCATGACAAAACTTCACTGAGTGTAATTCTAGTTAGTTAATGAAATTCAGCATTCAATTATCTCAAAAAGTGTGATAGATAATTTGTTATTATCCCAGGTTTCTATCATTTGGTATCAGAGCAAACCGATCCTGATGATGAACTTAACAGATCAAGTGGGAAGTTTAGAAGGATCTCAATAGAAATTACAGGAGCAAATGGAAGGAATGCAAATGGGAATGGAGAAAGTGCAGATGGAGTTGCAACGGGTACAGAATATTGAAAAAAATATGGCCATCATTTCCGAACAATTCACCTTCATGAGGACAAGATGGGAGGAGGCTGAACGAGAAAGGAAAGGCAAAGGACAAGCAGGAGCGAAGGACTCAGAATACACTGGGCAATCTGAGGTTTCTCCGGATATGGGGATGAATGGCAGAGAAAGGGGTTATGCAACCGGTGGGAGCTGGAAAACAGAAATCAAGGGGAGGAGGTTGGAGATGCCGGTGTTCATGGGAAACAATCCGGATGAATGGATCTTCAAGGCTGAACGATATTTCACTGTGAATCACTTAACGGAGTTGGAGAATTTAGAAACGGCCGGTTTGTGTTTTGAAGAAGGAGCACTGTCTTGGTATCAATGGGAACAAAAACGGAGAGGTGTGCGTAGTTGGGAAGAGCTCAAAGGACTCTTGCGAGCTCGCGTCAGATCGACGCTGGAAGGTACCACGGAGGAACGATTCCTGGCCCTCCGACAAGAGGGTTCGGTGATGAATTACAGGCACTCATTCGAGACACTAGCAACTCCAATCTGTGATGTTTCTGAGGCCATACTAGAAGGCCACTTCATAAATGAGCTGAGCCCAGAAATTAAGGCCGAAGTCAGGATGTTACAGCCCAAAGGGCTTGAGCAGATTATGGAACTGGCCCAAAGAATTGAAGAGAAGAACAAGGCCCCGCAAGCCTATGCTACTGGATCTGGCCCATTAAGAAGTAAATTAAATCCTAACCCAAATGGGTACCCTCTGTCTTCCAGAAATCAGTCGAACACTCTCTAGATTTCCAACCCAAAATTATCGGCGACTAGATTTACACATGCTGTCGGCCCGATATTCAAGAAGCTCAGTGAAGCCGAATTGAAGGTCAAGAAGGAAAAAGTGCTATGTTTCTGTTGTGACGAGAAATATTCCATTGGGCACAAGTGCAAGAACAAAGAGTTGCAAGTAATGCTGGTGTACGATGATGAACGACAGGATGAGTCATGAGTGCGAAAATGAGGAGCCAACTGAGGAGATGATAGAAGGAGGGAGACTTACGACCGGCGAAATGGTGGAATTATCCATAAATTCGGTGGTGGGTCTTACCCCACCACAGACCATGAAGCTGAAAGGAAAAATTTCCGGCGAAGAAGTAGTGGTGCTAATTGATTATGGGGCTAGCCATAACTTCATATCAGCCGACTTGGTGCAGAAATTGGAGTTGCCTAGAACAGAGACATTGAGATATGGGGTGATCATGGGGATTGGGTTGGCGGTGCAGGGGGCAGGAATTTGTAAAGGAGTGCAATTATCTTTGCAGAATATAGAGGTAGTGGAGGACTTCCTTCCTTTGGAGTTGGGGAGTTCCGACGTGATTCTAGGAATAAAATGGCTTTCAACTCTAGGCCAAACGAAAATTGATTGGAAGGCACTCACGATGAAATTTCAGGTTGGGGGAACTACAATGACTTTGCAGGGAGACCCGAGCCTTAGCAAAACATTGATTACGTTGAAGGCTATGATCAAAGTGTTCAAAGGAGGGGGAGAAGAGTGCTTCTGGAGTTAGGCAGCCTGGTGGTTGAATGTGGGGAGTGGCAGAGAGGGATATTGGTGGAAATTAACCAAGTCTTGGATGAATTTGAAAAGGTGTTTGAAGAACCCGTGGGGTTGCCACCCCCACAGAACAGAGATCACGCGATCGCTCTTCAACCAGGTACTGCCCCTATCGGCGTAAGGCCCTATCGCTACCCACATGCTCAAAAAAACGAGATAGAGAAGTTAGTTCGCGATATGTTAGCTGCTGGGATCATCAGGCCTAGCACCAACCCATTTTCTAGCCCAGTTCTACTGGTGAAAAAAAAAAGATGGGGGATGGAGGTTTTGTGTAGATTACAGAGCAGTGAACAAGGTGACTGTACCGGATAAGTTTCCCATTCCCGTGATAGATGAACTATTGGATGAATTACATGGGGCAACGATTTTTTCTGAGTTGGATTTGAAGGCAGGCTACCATCAGATTCGGGTCAAACCTGATGGCATTCTGAAAACAGCATTCAGAACACATGAAGGGCATTATGAGTTCATCGTCATGCCGTTTGGACTCACTAACGCCCCGGCCACATTCCAATCGCTCATGAATGAAGTATTCAAAGAGAAACTGAGGCGCTTTGTGTTAGTATTCTTTGACGACATTTTAGTATTCAATCGCAGTGAAGAGGAACATACTGGGCATTTAAGGAGTGTACTGCAGGTGCTATCCCAACATCAATTGTATGCCAACAGAAAAAAATGTAGCTTTGGGCAGGCAGAGGTGGAGTATCTCGGGCACATTATTTCCCGTCACGGGGTAGCTGCAAATAAGTTAAAAATTCAAGCCATGATAGACTGGCCAAGCCCCAGTTCATTGCAGGAGTTGAGGGGATTTTTGGGGTTGACTGGGTATTACCGTCGTTTTGTTAAGAATTATGGCAAGTTGGCGTGGCCCTTAACAGAACGATTACGTAAGGACAATTTTTTCTGGGATGAGGAATCAGAACGAGCCTTTAATAGCTTGAAAGTAGCCATGACTACGGTGCCGGTACTTGCTCTTCCTGACTTTAGTAAGCCTTTCATCATAGAAACCGATGCTTCGGGGTTTGGTTTGGGGGCAGTACTTATGCAGGACCAGCACCCCATCGCATTTTTTAGTCATGCTCTTAACCCAAAGGGAAGAGTGAAATCAGCATATGAGCGAGAGTTGACTGCCATCGTTATCGCAGTTCAAAAGTGGAAACATTACTTGCTAGGTCAAAAATTCTTGGTTCGAACCGATCAAAAAAGTTTGAAGTTTTTAAAGGAGCAACGGGAAGTAAACCCGGAGTATCAGAAGGGTTAGTTAAATTGATAGGGTATCAGTTTGAAATTCAATATCGTCCAGGAAGTGAAAACAAGGCGATTGATGCATTATCTCGGGTAAGTTCTTCATCTGAATTAATGGCAATCTCAGTCCCGACAATGGTGCAACTAGAAGTATTAACTGAAGAGGTAAGGGCAGACCCACAATTGCAGGGGGTCATCCAGGACATCACCAGAGATTCCCTCAGCAGGCCGGATTATGCAATGGTAAATGGTAAATTACTATTTAAAGGAAGGTTGTGATACCCAAAGGGTCGACGTTAATTCCCATAATGCTATAAGAGGAACATGATAACAAGTTAGGAGGCCACTCTGGGTGGTCGAAGACCTACAAACGGATAGCAGCAAGTGTATACTAGGAGGGAATGAAATCAGACATAAGCAAGTATGTTAGACAATGTACTGTTTGTCAGCAAAACAAGTACAATGCTCTATCACCGGCGGGCCTTTTACAACCACTCGCTATTCCAAATCAGGACTAGGAAGATATTGCCATGGATTTCATCGAGGGTTACCGAAGTCTGGGAATATGGCACCATTCTGGTGGTGGTTGATAGACCGAGTAAATATGGGCACTTTATTGGACTCAAATATCCTTTTACGTCAGCTAGTGTGGCGAGAATTTTCATCAAGGAAGTGGTACGACTCCATGGAGTACCGCATTCCATTGTTTCAGATCGAGATAAAGTTTTTGTGAGTCATTTTTGGGAAGAGTTATTCAGGTTGCAAGGAACTAAGCTCAGCCGAAGTACTGAACCGCACTTTAGAAACTCATCTTCGTTGTTTTGCTTCATCTCGACCTAAATCTTGGTTCAGTTGGCTGCCACGGACGGAATTGTGGTACAACACGTCCTTTCATACAACCACCAAAGCTACTCCTTTTCAAATTGTATATGGGCGAGAACCCCCAACTTTGGTGAGAATTGAAAGAGGGTGCACTCCAGTTTCAGTGGTAGAACAAAAGTTGTGGGAACGTGATTGAATACTAGATGAATTAAAGGCACAACTACTCCAAGCTCAAGCTAAAATGAAGGGCATAGCCGACGCTAAACGCAGAGATATCCAGTTCCAAGTAGGCGATTTGGTATACTTGAAGATCAGACCATATCGCCGGAGGACTTTGGCTGCCACGAATAATGAAAAATTGGCTCCAAGATTCTATGGTCCATTTGTAGTGGAAAAGAGAATTGGACCAATGGCGTATAAGCTGTCCTTACTACCCACATGTAGCATTCACCCGATTTTTCATGTATCACAGTTGCGCAAGGCAGTGGAAGCAACACATGCTGTGGATGAAATGCCTAATCAAATGAGGAGTTAGAAATGTTGGTGGAACCTGAAGCGGTGCTGGGGGTGCGACTTGGATCAAGTCACAACATTAGAGGACTGGATGTGTAGATTCAATGGAAGGGGCTGCCACCACTGGAAGCAACATGGGAATCGTATGACCTGTTGAAACAGCAATTTCCCTCCTTTCACCTTGAGGACAAGGTGAGTCTTGTTGGGGGGAGTAATGTTCGACCCGCAATACAAGTCACCTATCAAAGACGCAAGGGTAGAAGAGGAAATACACAGGAAGAATAAGCCACATGCACGGTTACATTATATGGTTGGGGGAACAGTCTAGAAGCAGAACAACCTATAAATAAGAGAAGAAATTGGCAACCGGGGGAGGAGAATTTGGCATTCAACAGGAGAGTGGTGAACCTCTCAAAAGTTCACAGCTATATCTTGTTATTTTCTTCAGTTCTTGTGTATTTTTGATTTAATCGTCCTATCACAGAACTTCACTAAGTGTAATTCCAGTTAGTTAATGAAATTCAGCATTCAATTATCTCAAAAAGTGTGATACATAAATTGTCATTATCCCAGGTTTCTATCAGATTGCACCATTAATTTTTATATGTTCTACTGAGTATTCCCACGTATTCACCATTTTTCCTACTCACAGATTTGAACAGGTCGTTGGTTGACGGGCGATGCGGTGGAGTTATGATACCAAAAATTATGGAATTCAAAATAAATAAATTCGGAATAACATGACTATGAACTTTGATTTTTAGCGTTATTTCAATTTTATCTTCATGTGAAATTTGCAATTTAAGATTTGGGACATGTTTCAGTTAATTATATTTTCCATATGTTTTATTTATTTTATAGATGGAACTAGAAAAATTTTCATGTTAGGATGTTTGATTTAATTTATTTAATTATGGAATCAAGGTTTTAGTAACGATTTTAAATTGTTAAAATTTGGGTCGTTACAAAAGGTATGTGATGGTCGTTTTGTTAGGGAATTTAGACAGTGCGAACAGATACACAAAAAAAGAAATATGTTGCAACGGCTCAAATTACCGATTGAAAGCCTCTCACTCATCAAAGATTCACTATCTACAAATAGTATGCACCCATGATTGTTGAACAAAATAAAGAGAGAGTTTGAGATTCTATATTTGCAAAATATTGTGCTTACCAAAGGCTCGAGGCAAAGAAGGCACTGATAGGAATCACACATGTAGCATATCTGCAAATACCGTGGAACATGGTCATACAAGGATATTATACACTAAATGGTTAATAACATGGGAATACATCTCTCACATTTCAAATGTCATTTTGACAGGTGATACAACCTGCACAATTTTAAGTCATTACTACGTCAGCAAAGGGATTTTGAAATAAAAATACATGGATATAAAATTAAAACATCACACAAGTGGGGAAAGGCTGACCCAGAAGTTTATGGCTAAATAGCAAAAAGGTGCAACACTTGTTTTTCGTTTTGTCCAAAGACAATTTCACTGGGGTAAAAGACCATGCATACTTGCAAAGTTATTCAACTCAATCAAAGCTTCACAAATACCAAATCTACTGCATAAAAGTGAATTTTATGAAAAAACTTGACAAGTAATATAGAACCTCGATCTCCAAAAAGATTAAGCTTAATGATGAAATTGTAATAACTCGTGTGACAAGCAGTTTTGGTACATGTTCATGTAATGTAGTCTGCACTAATAACATACACATCTACTAGGAAGAAGGGGTCCAACATAAAAACATGTTATATTAAACAGCTAAGCAACATAATGAAGTTCTAAAGATCTCACATGTATCAAAAGGAGATTCTACAATTCTATTGCCGTTAAGCAAAAAGTAATAGGACAAGCTCTCCGATAGAACTGCAAGACAAGATGGAACTCTTATAACTGGAATCTACATATTTACTTGACCAATGCAATTCACAACAATCAAGTTATCCATTGAGAGCCATGGACAAGTCTCCAAACATTGGAACTCTTTTAAAAACAAATATACAAATGAACAAAGGTAAGTTAGTAAAACTTTCATCCCTCATTCTACATAGCGCATGACAATAATTATCAACTTGGAAGCTATTAAAACGAGATTCATAAAATAAAGAAGGTGAATAAGGGTACATATTCTTTCAAATATGTCACTGTCGGTCAATCCACAAGATTTCCATATCTCTGCATTTTCTCTGGAATCTGTCTTAGCTTACACCATCCTCGTTAATAATACGAGGTCAGTGAGGAAAGACCAGTACCGGCTTAACAACCTCAATAATCAACTTGTATTGTCACATTAAGAGTCAATATATACCAACAAATATCAGTACACTAGTAAAGAAAGTAGAATGCAGCAAAAGGTAATTTCAAAATAACCCATACCTTAAAGACTCGAACCAGAAAAAATGCCACCAAGCCAGAAAAGCCCATATGAATCATGGTAAGTGTAATTGGCAATGGGAAATTGAAATATTTTGGTGAGAGAACCCACTGTTAAAAAACAAAACAAGAAACACAAGTCTGGCAATTGTTACAGTAGAGATGCACCTAAAATGAATAGTATTGGAAAACGAAAATAAACATACAGATACACTACTACAAAGGACGAATTTGTGGGAAAACCACCACCTTTTTTTTTTCCCTTCCTTTTTACCTAATGACCACATTGACAATGTTAAAAGATATTAGTGCTGAATATTGGTTGGCAGTGAGAATATTAAAGGTAGTAGATTAAAAAATATGGTGCAATAACCTCATAAGAGACCAAAAAACTTTTATTAAAAAATTGGCAGTGAGAACCTACCAGTTCATATTAAAGGTAGTAAATCAAACAATACAATGCAATGACCTCAATAAGATACCAAAAAACTTGTATAAAAAAAAAAATAAATAAATAAAAAATAAAAAAAAGAACAAGTCTATTTTGCACGGATGGCATCATAATATAAATTTGTGATGCTTTAGTACAGCAGTTCCCTCTAGATAATCAATATTCTCTCATTTGAATTTTTCTTTTTTCCCCTTTTAAAGCAGTAAAACTTAATTAGGAAATATAGAATTAATAATTGAAACTTGAAAGCACGTCAGGTGGAGATACCTAGCTTCACGAGGTATTTCCTTCAATACTATATTTTACAAGTAGGAAGCACCGAAAAGGACACGAAATGATACAAAATGGACAGGCTAATGTGCAGTTGTTCAAAAAAGTATGACACAAACATCCTCAATGCCTTGATCAAAATAATATATATATATATAGAAATTTTAGTTTTTTTTTTTATTGAAAATTTTGAAGTTATTTTTTTAATTCCGGACAATGTTCACTTCCATATAGATTTCACAAAAATAAAAAATTCCTAAAACTAGACGAGAGTCATCACCTTGTCAATTTATTGATAGATTCGTCACCATTGTACAGGTCAAGTAAACAATCTCTTTTTCTTTCTCTTTTCTTCATCCCTTTCTAATTCCTCCATCCCGTCCAAAAAAATCCATTATTATCTTCATGTAAGTAAAGGTTCCATGGCTCTTTTGTTTGACAAGAAAGTCGAGCTAATCAGGTTAACAATATTAGATAAATATCAACAATAATGTCACTATTAAGTACTAAAAAGGAACAATTTTTGACTTTACGTATAACCTAAACTTTCACGATTTTTTTTTTTTTTATAGGTTTCTGAAAAAGGAATGGTTTCATCTTGGTGCATAACACTAAGATATCTCCTAATTTAGTCAGTGCATAAAGACAAATGATCGGCGCATCCATATCTAATCCTAGTAGCAATTGTCTCAATGAACAATCAATAAATGGTAGATAGAGACCATTCAAATAATAATAAACAAGCAAAAATCATTTACAACAAACAAAGGTAAAGAGAAAGAAAGAGACCAGCATCGGAGGTTGTTCGTGTGTAGAATAATACAAGAATACATACCTTGTTATACAAAATTACTCCGGAGGACAATAGGATATAAACCAATAGATACAGATAGGTCAATAATAGTTGTTTGCTAATCATTGTGTTTGTTTAGGCTCCCTAAGCATTCCAACTTGCAATATCCAGCTTCGTACTCTTCATCAAGACTGAAATAATTGTATGATTGGAAGATATTTTGATGGAAATTTTATACCTACTCAAAAACCAGTAAAGCAAAATATCTCTTTTTCTCAGAGAATCATTTTTCGAACAATGAAATCCATAATATAAAGGTGTGTGAGATGAAATTCATTCAAACCGTTACTATTCATACCCTTGAATTACAAATATGCCACTTTCTTAGCGGAATCGCTGTAACTGCAACACGAACAGACATCAGTGGAACCTGGAAAAAGGATGATAGAATGAGAACGATATACAAAAGGCAACCCTCAGGTTCAACTATAGGTATCCATTTTTAACGAAAAAACCATTGGGCTATCCGGTTATGTATTTTCATGATGACAGACAGTTCGCAAACAAACATGATCTCATAATGGTAGTCAACAATCAATTCGGACAGCAAACAGAAAAAGATCATGGCACATAAAGAATAAAAACTCTATATTTGTAACACTAACAAAAAGTTGCGGCTTATTTAATTGAGAAAGAAAAAGGATATAATGGGAGTACAGGATAAAATATTTGACGGTGACACCCTAATACATGTGTTATATTCTGGAAGCATATTGAGACACATTCATATTCTTCTGTTCATTTTCTTTTGCTAGAAACCCTTGGCAAGATTATTTACAAAATTCGAGAACATTTTTCCCTTCCAACCTCTCCGGCAGGTTTATTTCTCACTAACTTAAAGGGGTTTGGATGGACAACTAAAATTTTCATTGATTATTGCTCTACCTCCTATTTGCTTGTGAGTTAAATCACTATCTTTCCTCGAGGGTAATTAATTGCTTTTTGGATCACTTGTTAGCTCAATTATAATTTAGTGTATTTACTTCTTTAACAAAGGACCTCTACTCTAATAACATTTTCTTACCATATGTTAAGAGATTCTTCATTGAAAATGAATGCTGCGGAAGATATAATTTCCAAAAATGGCATGACAAGCATGTGAGGAATAAATTCAACAAAGAGCTTTCACTACTTGTAACACCGTGAGTTAACAGAAAGAACACGAAGTTCACCATGGTTTAATTTTTGATATGTCTATAAATTATACCCTTTAGCCCAACAATGATATCGCTCATAGATTTGCACATATGAGCTTGCGGTAATTACTTTAACTTTTTGCATCAAGTTAGTTTAGAATGGCAGAATTAATTAAATCTCCTTCTTTGTAAGTTTCTATTATTAAGGGAACCCGTGGGTTGATCTAGCTAAAAACAAGGAGGGAGTGATCACCCAGCCTCCGGGATAAAGAAATACAGATTTAAAAAAAATAAAAATAAAAATCTTCGTGAGTCTATTTCAAACTCTTAACCTTTCCTTTAAATGTCCCAGGCCAACAGGCAAAAGTAACATTGACAGTTAATGTAGATCAAGTCTTTATCATTATCATATCAAGACCCGAATAAGTTGTAAGTAATCCGTTCTTCAAGCAATTACCATCAGGCATCTTACTATCGAAATTGCAATCATAATCATTTGCACAATATCTTACGAAATGACCTACAGGAGATAAATATTTTAAAAGTGCAGTTGGTACAAGTGTTTCCTATATTTATAGCATTATTAATGTACATAAATTGAAGTTTTAGTGGATTTGTTTTGTACCTTTTATTTCACCATTTTCCTTAGGCAATTACTTCCCCAGCGAGTTAACATATCATAAGCATTCAAACTAAATCATATTTTCATTTCCTGTGTCAGAATCTACAACCACTCTTCCAGCTTCTTAAACTTCACATTTGGATTGGAAGTTCAGCAGATGGTTGTTGATTACATTGTTAACAAACATTTAACACAGAAAAAACAACTTATGCCCACTTAGACCCATAAACGAATGCATGCATACACACTGGCACCCGCCATTTCGTATTGGGATAGGGAAACAGATCCAACATTGATTCCACCCAATAAAAGGCCTAAAATCCAATGAATTGGACCAAAACCAGAACGACCTGGAAATTGAAAATAACACTAAAACAAAACGCTAAAGAAGAATGAAATGTAACAAAATGTGAAGAATAAGGCAGGGTGGAACCTGAATTTCAGCAGATGGTATGTAATCTCAACTGGGTCTCCTTACTAATCAACAATTGGGCGTACAAAATCCTGTCCGTCAGACCGACTTGGTTATGCAAGTGAGCATACAGTCTTGGGATGGTGATGGGAGTTAGATTGGGTAGTTTTGAAGATCCGAAGTGCATTAATGGGGAGGTTTTTTAGGTAAAATTTGGTTAAGCTTTTTCGAGCAAAAGTGTCCTACGCAGAAATATCCTCAAAGGAAAAGTTGACGAGTTAAGTGAGTAGTTGCGCAAGAAGAAGAAATTCAGATCCCAACCATTTTTGGCAAGGAAAACGCTTTTTATAACATTTTACTTAATGACAAGGTGTTGATTGATAAGAACGTCATTTGTTGAAAAATGATTATGCCTAAAAAATGAGAATAAAAAATATAATCGTTATGACTTCTATACAAGAGATAAAAAATCAAATATGATGATTTAATGTAATGGATAATAGTCATATTTTTCATTTTAATGAAAAAATAATGGGGCTCAAACAAGCTATATGACAAGGTGTTGATTAATAAGGTTCTCATTTGTTGGAAAATTACTATATAAGTTGTCACGTCCATGTAACATCAGGTTGACAATCAAATTTCCTTTAAAGGCTTTTTTTAAGTCTTTTTAAAATGAATATTTCTTTTTCTACTCAAAAATGATCATCGTATTCAAATACTGTTTGGGAGCCGAGCCCCAACCTAGGCTTAGGTCATCACTTGTATATAAGAACCGGTTGGAAGCAGATAAAATCATGTATAGACATTTTATTCTCTAAAATTTTCACATGGTAGATTATCCTAAAGACTTGTGGAAATCAACCCATTAAACGGCCAAGGAACAATCCTTACATTGAGTCTCAACTCTTAGACTTGTATTTCGATAAAAGAAATAATATATTTATTGTACATTGTGGATGACATCTTCCTATATGTAAAAAATCTGGCTAGTGATATTAAGGGGTGTCTTTAAAATCAATGGTTATTATTACTACCACGTCAAACAATGTCATTTATAATGATTACTATCACGTCAAACAATGTCATTTGTAATGTACACGTAGCAAAGTTGTTCTGACAAATGGCCATTCCACAACTAACAAGGATTGAACCCCAACCCAGGCTTAGGTCAACACTTGTATAATAGCCAATTGGAAGCATATAAAATCGTTATAGACATTTTATTATCTAAAACTTTAACATGGTAGATTGTCCTAAAGACTTGAGCAAATCGGCCCATTAAACAACCAAGGCACAAGATAAACAAAGAGCCCCAACTCTTTATCATGTACATGTAAACAAATGGCCATACCACAACTAACAAGGACTTTATCACAATTCAATAAAGATGACTCCAGTCAATAAGACAAGGAAATAGAGACAATCTCCACGGGAAGCTTATCACTACACTACCAAGGACACAACTAAAATAGACCAGCCAAAGTTCAATCACAAAGAAGGCAATTATATAAAGTGAATAATTCAATATGCATAAAGTTGGTCTCTTGAGAGTTCAGCTAACACCTTGTTCCAATGCTCATATAGTTTCATATAAACATTTAACATCGTATGGACGAAGCTTCAACAGTCCATTAATGTGTCTTTACTTTTCTTCCTTTAGATGACAGGACGAGGATTGGGAAGGCTGCATCGAAAATTTCTGCAAATATATATATATATATATGGGCATCACTTTGCAAGGGAAAGTAAACATGCTTTAAACCGCAGAAAGAAGACATTACATAGATCCCACAGAATAACTGCTGGTCTGCACTAATACATGCTGAGTTTAATATTAAACATAGAACTATTCCATCGAACAAACTCTTGATGGAATAATAATTAGCTTCTACGAGGCAGTGCAATAGGCCTGGTCAAGTTTTACAAGAGACACTAGAGAAACAGATCAAAAATAACAAACCACATACGGTTAGGTAAATTTTTGGTCTAAGGCGGAAACTCTGCATAAAAAGCCTGAGAGAAGCCTCTATTCCTCTTGATTGACATCAAGATTTTTGAGTTTGGATTCCAATTCATTTTCACTGCCTTCACCATCATCCCCTAACTCTCTGTCATCATCATCTCCTCCTTCAGGATCATTTTCATCCAAGGGTCCAAGCTTTTCCGGATATTCTTTGAAGATATCCTTCAACTCATCGATACCTTCATCAGAAATGAAGTTCCCATTAACATTAAGCAACTTGAAGTCAGGCTTATGCACCAAAGTCTGAGCTAAAGATCTGGCCCCAGCCCTTCTTAATGAATTCGTGCTCATATCAATTTCCTTCACTTGATCATGGCCTTCAAGAGCCTTGCTGATCTGAATGGAACCCTCGTCCTTAATTTCATTCTCAGAGAGGTTCAACTTCACAAGGGCCTTTTTTGCAGCAATGCAAGCAGCTAAACTGGGAGCTGCTTCAGCTGTAATATCATTTCCAGCCATCTCCAATACTCCAAGCAAAGGGGCTGCCTCCTTGAGAGAATTGGCTATTGTAATTGCTCCTTCATCTTCCAGATTAAGGTAGCTTAAATAAACCTCGGTAAGATATTCGTGTTTGGAAAGAGCCTCGCTCAACTTGACGCCAACCTCTACGCCAAACATGTTGTCCCGTAGATCAAGTTTCTTCAGATTCTTACACCCCCCAAGTGCTTCAGACAGAGCAACTCCTCCTTTAGAGCCTACTCGTGTAGATGAGCACCGAAAATCCTCCAACAAGGGGCAACGCCTCAGAATCTCAGAAATAGCAACAGCCCCTTCATCTCCAGTCATATTATTATGAAATTGAAGAACCCTAAGCTTCTCTGTGGAAGGAACCAACTCACAGACAGCTCGTGCAGCTTCCTCTGAAATCCCATCGTTCATTAGATATAGTTCCTCCAAGATAGTTTGAGACTGCAAGAGCTTCCCGAATGCCCTAACTCCCTTCTCACCCAAGGCATTGTCCGACAGGTTCAGACACGTCAAATGAGAGCCTTCCAGAGCTACAGAGAATATATTCATGACATCAAGAGCTTCAGCCTCTGGTCTTCCCGCAACAAAATCTGACAGATCAACTTTCTTCAACTGGTTCTTAATGGATGCCAAGATAGGCCCAGCAACATGAGCAGCTCCTAGACCAAAGCTTCTATTGCTAAAACACAGTTCAGTATAGGAATTTCCAGGTTCTTTTAATGGCATCAGAAGTGCTTTTGCCTCATCTGCTTCTATAAATGCACGTTGACCTTTGGAAATATCGAAAAATGTTTCATTGACAGCGGAAACAACCTCAGACTTTACAATCCCTTTCTCTCCCACACCGGGACCCTTTTTAAGAACTTCTAAAATGAGCTTACTGCACTCCCTGGCATACAATTGCACGGCAGAACTGCCATCTCCATCAGGTTCTAGCTCATAATGTTGATTTGCATCAGCAAAAGCTGATTCTTCAACTTGTTTAGCAAATTCTGAAGCTTCATTCTCACTTAGACTTCCATACTTTCGGGTGAAAATAGTTGGAGTAGAAAGATTTTTAGTCATCCGCTCCACTAGCATCTGTCGTGTGTTTTGGCTAGGAGGCCATAGTTTAATGGTAACATGCCGGCGTTGTGAACTTGGAGTCTCTGCATCCATTGTAATCGAAGCTGAAATCAAGGAATGACAATCACTATTAGACAATATGGCCAAGTAGTTGCAAAGGTCATGCCATTATAAAGCAAAAAGGATCCAACTGCTTCCTGGCAGGAACATTTCTTAGTCGTAGGTCAACAAAAATGATAATCACAAATCTCAATATTGATCATACAACACAAAATTCTCAAATAATAACAGTAACAGAAACAACAATAATAACAATATTAATTTCAATCAAGCAAGCCACCACTTCAACATTTTTCTGTATCCAGCGCATTGAATATTCTTGTGAATCATGTCAATCCTGATCACAGACCAGAACTCATGCTCAAACTGCATTACGCTTGGTTAATTATCAATAACGTACAGACTACTCAATCAAAACACAATTAAAAAAATCATCAAGCACATTAGCTGACCAACACGAAGGAGCTGTAGAATTGATCAAGGCAAAATACAGAAAAGTTATTATATTTATTTGAGATAGCTTTCTTCCGTTTAGCCAATCATCGATACAAAACAGACAGGCATCAAAAGGGTGTGCCAGATACCTCTGGCATAGGCCTTTTCAATGCTTTAGTCAGGGAAAGAGATAATAATATCACATGATGAGAATTCAGCATGGATTTGGTTCCCTCCCTATATTAGAGAAGTCATTCGCTCTATATATAGGCAACCTGGTAGTAAATTAGCTTCCTCCACTTCCAACATGTTAAGGTAATGGGTTCATGATTTAGAAAATGGTCCCTAAAACTAGAAGCGGATTATTTTAGAGAAGACTGGGTGGTTAATCCTCAATACCAAAAAAAAAACTAGTTAACCCTCAATACCAAAAATAGCAGAAAAATAACTATAGCACAAAGAAGTTTCCATCAGAAAAATGAAAAGGAATACAAAAATGGACAAATCCCAGTTGTAAAAGCATGGTTCTCTCCAATGAGATGTAAAATTTTAAGGTTATACAATTACTCCGAGATAGAAAGATGAAAACACTGAAACAATAAGGAATTTAGACTTGAAGGATGAATAAAAAAGTAGTATATCTCCAAGTATAAAAGAAATTGTTTCAATTTTATCGATCCAAATTATCCTAACATGAAAATAACAGAAGCTGATTATAATTTCAAAAAGAAATAAAAGACAAAAGAAAAAATATTGTTTATAAGTTGATCCATTTCTTTAATTTTATTGTCACCCTCTCCCAGAATCCATTTTAATGAAATGGATACCCAACCATCATGAATATCGTCCAAAGTTATCAATGAGTAGCCAACCCTAAACTTGTAATTTGGAGCATCATCTTCATTATGTGACGTATCAAAAGGATAAGACACAACAATAGAGCATCAAACCTTAGAAATTATATATATATATATATATAAGCAGACATATCCGCCCCAATATTCAAGGCAAAGCAAAGGCTAGAGTTTTTCTCCCAAATATCCCCACAACACCCCAAGCCTATTTAAAGGCCAATTTACATTAGGCTTCTACCCTAGAATATTATGGGGTTTGACACTGTACTGGATATATGAATATGCTATTGATTGGACACTCGTAGCCTGCTTGACTAAAATTTTTGGATTATATAATGCCCAGGCTTGATCGACGTTCCAAAAATAAATAAATAATAATAAAACTCGAACCTGAAGCCTGAAAATTAACTTCGATCAAAATCTCTCTTTATCCTTGTTCTACAAACTTAAATCGAAGTTCAATTATCTCATAATTCCAATCAAAACTCAATCCAGACATAAAAGAAGGGAATGTGGTATAACGAGAAGGAAAGAGATTAAGAGGGGTAAGCTGCATACCTTGAATTGAAGAAGCGAACTGGAAAATGGGAAAAATGGAATTTGCCCTAATTTGTCACTGTACTTTCCCCGAATTCGGATATTTTTATCCGTGTCTCGGTCTCTGGCAGCCGCAATCAAATGAATTTGAATGTGGGAGCGGGAGAAGGACTGGACTATTTGCCCTATTTTGCCCCTTGGGCTGCTGGGCTTTTAATAAACAGATCCTCCGACCCAAATTAGAAATCACCAAGCTCGGTTCTGCTTGTTGGATGAGATGGGCTCGGCCCATTGGTCAACAAACCAAGCCTGAGTCAACTCGATGACCAAGAGGCCAGACATTGTCCATGTAGATCGACCCGAGCCAACCAATAAACCCTCATATTACATAATTTTTCAAAACAGAAATTATTCGAATATAAATGAATGAAATCAATGTTAACAAGTTGCAAAGCAAACTATAATTAAAAAACGCCATTTGTACAGATGAATTTACAGGTGCTGAGATTACAAAATTTAATTGGCTCATTTAACTTTGTTTTTATCCAAATTTTAATAAAATCTTATTAGTTGACATTCTGTAAACCAGTCTGTAAAAGCAACCTATACATATAGCATTTCTCAACTATTATAATGAGTAATATTATCTAATATCATTGGTGCTAGAACACTAGTTTAGATTACTGTATTTGATAGATTCAATTAAATAAATCATGTGATAATGTATTTAAATGAATCTATTACTTAATGACATGCATTTATCATCTAAACTGATGCTTGATATTAGTATTTTTAAATGACATTACTCTATTACAGTTGACTCGTGAAGTCTAATAGCCCAAGACCCCGAACTTAGCTCGACACTATGCTCGTCTAAATGTGATTTCAATTCATCCATGGACCTAGCTCTCACGAGTCGACAAGCATGTAATACTCGAATTTCATGCTCAAATATTTATTGTGATATTTAGCCCTATATGCCTCCATTTCTTAAAAGTTATTTTACTCAAACTCATTTTTAAAACAAATTATTTACGAATTCATAATTTTTATCAATTTTTCAATCATATATTTCACTAACTTTTATCAAAATTTGTAGGGAAATTTTTTTTTTTTTTTTTTTTTATCCAAACCAAACTAGGGCTTAATCATGCTTAGCGAGCTACGGCAGTTAGTTAGAACCACCGAAGTCTGTTTGCAAATTAGAAGTTGTTTCTCACGAAAAAAAAATTATTGGCACTAAACACATTTTGGTTAACACAGCATTCTTTCAAAGGCACTTTCCTCTCGGATTTCCAAGGCAGTGAGTTGTTTTCAAAACTCTCCAACCAAATCTCGTCTCTTCATTAATCAAATCCAAGCTCATATTAATCTCCTTGGATTTTGATCTCCACTTGAAGCTTCTTGATTCAGTGCTTCGCAGCCTTCTGTTTTAGATCGAACTTGTAAGCATCATCGAATGGTGCTTAAATAGGGTGAAGCAGGAGATCACCCATCTCTCAGTGGTCTAGATGAGGTTGACTTATGTTGAACGATTCGTTAAACAAAATATGTGCACGTGAAAAAAGAATTCAGCCTACATGTGAGGACGTTATGAAATTACATTTTATATCAGCTTAATCATACAGTAGCAATCCATAAAATAAGATGAGAGCACTGCGTAAGAGTAATCTAGGTAAAAGAAACACACTGGAACAATCAACAGTGCTCCCTCCAGGCATTCTCAACCTGAACTAGAAGCAGCCACTTCAATATTTTCAGATTCAAAATCTTTTCCAGAGTTCTGTGAGAAATCTGGGGCTTTTGGAATTAGTCCAAGCAGCTTGAACATATACTGATCAGCGTCATAATCGTTGTTGGGAGTTGTCAACAGCTTCTCTCCGGTGAAGATAGAATTTGCGCCAGCAAGAAAGCAGAGGGCCTGCTCGGGAATGGAGAACCGAACTCTACCAGCTGAAAGCCTGACCATTGCCTTCGGCATTATAATCCGGGCTGTTGCAATCATCCTAATCATCTCCCATATCTCAACTGGCTAAAATAGCAGGATCAAAGTGAGATTTGATCAAGAATCCACACAAACATATTTCTGTTTTCTTACAAAGAACCCAGACTCATAATTTGATGAAGGTAAGATCAAGCCACCTAGATTAGATTGAAATAGAATTAAAGCAGTTGTGAATTGCCTAACCAGTCGTCAGAGATTCTTTTTCCACTAGTTAACACAAGTTCCACGGACATAAAATTAATGAATTTTGTAGAATATATGTTTTCCGGGATTTTGAATTTTCTTTTCTAATTGGATTTTGTCATGGGCCATAATCAATCTTTGGACGTGTGGTTGAAGCTATAACTGTAAACTGGTTTCCTGTACCAGAAGTTGACATGTTTATTAATTGCAACCCCTTCCATCTGTTTATAAGGTAATATATAACATGTTTCAAGGAAAAAAAATTAGAACCAATGTAAGCCTTGAGATCAATAGCCCAGAATTTCTAATCCTTCAGCTTTATATCAGTTATAACCAGATGTTCGTCTCTAGATAAACAATCTCTACAATTTTTTTCCAGGTTCCCTTTCTTTAGCGTATATATTATTTTTATCGTCTTTTAGATATGGTCACATTTGTGTGCAAGAAAACTTGAAACTCAAGGGATAATGCCATTAAATGCGGTTGGGGAATTAATTTTTGAAAAGCTCATGAGAAGGACATGTTGGCACCAACTTCACAGTCTGGACGAACAGAGATACAATATCAGGACCTAGAAAATGTTCTCTCAACGTTTAGGGTAAAAAATGCCAATATGCTTATTATCTATTCAGTTCATTTTTCTGATTTCTATCTTCTTTATTTCTTTATATTTTGGTGGAAAGTGGGGGGAGAATAAAGACAAGTAAACGACACACTGGTCAAGGTACATTATATAGAAGAGTTTCCATAGAACTTACTACTCGCTTCACAAGCATAAGAACTACGTACCTTTTGATCTTCCAGGGGAGTGCCTTTTACTGCGAGCAGTGCATTAATGGGAACACTCTCAGGGTGTGTTGGAAGAGTAGCCAGAGTATGTAACAAACCAACTCGGTCCTCTTCTGCTTCTCCAAGCCCAATTATTCCTCCTGACAGAAAATCCAAGGTCACTTGTATTTCCAATAAGATTGAGATATGCAGGACAACTATTTGGGCTTACGATCTCAGAAGGGGGTCATAACATGTGATTCATAGTGCGTGGAATTTCATTATGTCACCAAAATAAGCTAAAGCAAAATGCTATTTGCATCCGGGCATGCAAGGGAGTCATAACATGTGATTCATAGCGCGTGGAATTTCATTATGTTACCAAAATAAGCTAAAGGAAAATGCTATTTGTACCCCGGAGTTTACACGTCCGGTTACCCGACCCTCACATGGGAGCAGGGCCCGCACACAATAAATGCGTGGGACCCACCCCCCATGTGAGAGAGTGTAAACGCCCCGGGTACATGTAGCATAGCCCTAAGCTAAAACATTAGAATTTGTACTAATGGATGCTACCTGGAAACCTTTAAAAATTAAAGAGATAAGGGAAACCGGGAATAAGAACACCAAGAATCCCTCCTAGATCCAGATTTGCATGTCACCCATTTTTGGAATTGCAACATAAGATTTGAAAGGCTTCATGCTTCAAAAGCCCTATAAAACTCCAAAATTAAACCCCCTAAGTTACTAACAGAACACACGAATAAATATAGTCCACACAAAAATTTTATTCTTATTACAGTGCAGAATCCTTGCAAGGAAACCTAGAAATAGAAAACAAAAGCAATTTTTAATCATCTAGAGTTACCAAAACTGTAGGTGACCCAATGTAATACTAAAATTAAGACATAATATACAGTTTCTGAAAATTACAGAATTTTAAAAATGACACACACTTATCAAGTAACAATAGAAAGATCTTCAATTGCTCATTACTTGAATTGTGTCAATTCTCAATTTGCCTTTAAAAATAAAAAAATAAAAAACACAATTTTACCGTTCCTTGCGCATATCTCAGACTACACAGGGTATATAATTAAACTAAATAATCTCACCAAACTTTTGGAAAAAAAAAAGAAGAAGAAGAAAGGCGTTCGTTAGGCAAGTATTTGTATTTGGGTGTCTACCGAAGCATAGAATAAGTCTGAAATCAAATTTATACTTCAAAATATGGAGTGCATATGCAGATTTGGATTTAGATATATCCGGGACCCAAGAAAATCGATATCCACACAAAATTCATAACAGCACAGGCAAAGATAGAATAAGCACAACAATGTCTAACAAATTACCTGAACAAACATTGATCCCTGCTTCACGAACATGCTCAAGGGTTTGCAGGCGTTCATCGTAGGTTCTTGTAGTTATAATATTAGGGTAGTACTCTCTTGAGGTGTCAAGGTTATGGTTATAAGCTGTAAGACCTGCTTTCTTGAGTTCTAATGCTTGTTGCTTCTCCAGCATTCCCAAGGTGCAGCAGACCTCCATACCCATACCCCTTCCCATGGAAAATGTTATAAGTTTAGACATTAAATGCAGAATGGTAACAAGAAATAGCAACAGATTTTTGTCAGAGCAGAAAAGGGGAAGAATTTAGGAGATGTCAAATGAGCAAAAAGACTTGCAGAATGTAGCAGTACAAATATTACAGGAAATAGAACCAGGGAATGATCAATAAATATAAAATAAACTCTTATAGAGAACTGTTCTCAGCAACATCTACGAATCATGTAAATATTTTCAAAGTGCTCCTTATGTATAAAATATAAATTAATAAAGTTACACAGTTAATTAGTCAAAAGGTTTTGCTGGCAACATGTTGTTGAGCACAATCTTATGTCAATAAATTTTATGTGTTAGCGTATTCAATAGTTTGAGACCTCTAGCAGATAGAGGACCAGGAGAACTGGACCTGAAATTCAGCAGTCTCGTGTTGGGCCTAAAGAAGTTTATAAAATTTACTCGGCCAAATACTATTTTGTTCTTTCTCAATGCTATGGTTTTTCAAGCCAGCATTATTGCCTCCAATACTTTCGTAGAGGATATAGAAAGCATGGATAAAGGTAAACTTTTCCCTTCCAAATAATACAGAGAATACAATCATAAATATACTGACACAAGACTCCTACTTGGTTGGAAGATTTTGCACTCAGCAAGAATTGTTAAGGGATAAGTAATCTGAATTTGCTAACACCCTCCTTATCTAATAATTATCTTTACTCAACCAACTTCATAAGTCGCTTATCCTTGTATAAGTCCCTTATCGTTCTCTCAACGGTCAACAAACACAGGTGACGTTTCATATTCCCCTCAAGTTGGCTTGAAAATATCTCATTTCCAGCTTGCTTATCAACTACTAAAACACTGGTTCATTCAGCCAATTACTGAATATTTCAGCTAGTTACCCCGTCGTTGTGATGAATGTCAAAATTCACCATTAGTTGTTCAAGAAGTTTCCAGAGCTATAGTAGTATGTGCGTACCTTGAGAAATTATCCTAAGTGTGTTTGAGCCACATTATTTTGAAAGAATGTATTTTGGAATAATAGATTGATAGAGAATGTATGGATAAAAAATAAGAAAAGTTGATAATATTATTTTTTTTGAAGAATGTGTGATTGAAATGATGTCAAATCACTTTTTGAGAATGTATTTTTTCGAAAGAATGCAAATCGAACAGGGCCTAAATTTTGACTCAACACTACTTCTAACAACAATTGACTTGTTCTTGCTTCTCCGTGTCACTACATTTTCTCCCAATGTGCATAGGCCTTAGTTGACCTTGTGTAAAAATCAAATGTGCATAGAACCAGCACAATAAGCACTAGTATAGTCCTCCATCCTCAGTCGATCACTTTTTTGAATAGCATCCCTTTTTCGAGTGTCTTCTTCGAGTACTAAAGTATCTTATACACAACTCCGAACAGGTTAAACATCTCTCATAACCATCTTAAAGCAATTAGAACAGGGAGGACAAACAATTTCGTCATCCATCCATAAAGTGAAAAAGTTAATACTATTCAATCTGTTAGTTAAGTAGCAGTTCTAGACAAGACTCCTGAAGCAACTCTAACTCATTTAAGGACCTCAAGCCACTTAAGAGTATAAAATAGCACTGTTCACCAACCATAAATGCCATATAAAAGAGAAAATAATCCAGGAACGGCCATGAACTAATAAATGGAGCATATTTATTGGCTGACACCCACATGAAGTTTACTGTCAAATTTGCCACAAGAAAACACCAAGTGTTCACACAAACTGATGAAAATAGGATCAAACGTCATATGATAATAATTTTGGAAAAAGGCCAGTGAAAGGAATGAAAAACAAGCTAACTCTAAAAAATCATAATTAATTAGAATACTGTTCATGATACTCATATTTGCTTCTGCAATAGCCCTTTACCTTATTTCCTTCACATACTCTAGGATCTGGTTGAAATTGGTCTTCCTTCCTATTGTGTCTCTCCATGCAGCACCCATACAAAATCGAGTGCTACCAGCCTCTTTTGCCTGCCAATAGGTAAATGGCCTTGATTATGCAACAAGGACAGGGGGTCTTATACATGTCTCTATGTATTTATGTATGTACTTGTGTCTGCAAATCAATCAAGTAAACTACCAATTGAATGCATAAATGTAATTGTGTCTGCAAATCAATCAAGTAAACTACCAGTTGAATGTAGTAGACTACAGATTGTAAAATTCATTTGTTTCTTGAATTTTACCCCCATCTCATCTCTGGCTCTGTGTGTGTGTGTGTGTGTGTGAAAGCATCTTTCTATTATCAATATAATCAACTATTTTTTTGATAGGTATCAATATAATCAACTATATAACCATACTTGTTGGAAATGCCAGGTGGCATGTCCAAATTAATTTTTTATTTTGTACACTTGGGTACGTTGGAAGATACATTGCCGACACGTTGCCAATCCTCTAAAATAAAAATAAAAAACAAATACATTTTATATTATGAAAAATAACATCATTTAATAAGCGCGTTGGGAATTGTATCATTGATACTTTTTCACAATATTGCATGTCGGTAACTTGTCCAACATTTGTGTCCTACAAAGTAAGAAGACCCCAAAAAAGGCCTCAGAACCAGAAGACAATAATCCACCCATCTCCACTGTATATGCTTCCTCAACTTCAGTTGTTTGTAGGCATACTTAAGTATTACGACCTAATAAATTCGGTCTCATCTGCAGCTAATATAAAGAATTGCACCATTAAATGATAAAATAAATAAAATCCATTGCTCATCTTTCTGTGACAGCGTCCTAAATAAATTCAAACCTTTGATTTACTACCCTTTGTTAGCTTATTCCCATTCCCTAAGAAATTTCTTAAATCACAAAGACTAACCGATTCCACTTGTGTTCAAGAGTTCTCACTGTTCCTAAATAGTCATATTTATCTACTGTGCTCCAATGTTTTCTGGTTGCAAGAGAGTAGTCATGCTGGGACTGCCTATTCACCACAACACTACTTGAGGAAAGTTCCTCCAATTATGTAGTACCCAATTTCTAAAACTTGTTTAATCCAGTATGTATCTCTATGATCTATGATCCTGATTTTATTCATGGACAGAGATTAATTTTGTTGGCAATAAGCATTCCCAGACAAGCCAGATCCTGTCCCCATTTTCCATCACCCTAGGCGAGTTGGTTTCTCACTCTGAACCAAAAGTCAATCACCTCACAAGGTGATCTGGTACTAAAACTGTTTGCATTTATTCCCTTTGCTCCCTGATTGTTGACCTCTCAAGCCTGTAACTGATTACAAACTTTAGCATTCCCCTAAAGGCACAAATAGTTTATTCCTACTCACGGGATAATCATTAGATCTCCAATGAAGCCACTTACAGATCACCAAGTCAAAGAACTCCTAAATTGCTAAGGCTCTGTGTCATTATCCATAATTTAAGCACTACTGGCAGAGCCCCTCTCTGCCTCCCATCCTGCCAGATCAATAGGAAAAACTGAAAATAAAAAAAAATAAAAAATGAAAAAAATGAAAGTAAAGGGAGAAGAACTCAGCAAATAAAGCATATTACACAAGTAAGTGAACAAATAAAATATAATCACAATGTCAGAAGATCTTAGTTTCCACCAGTAAATCTTCACGCTGCTAGGTTAAATAACAAGGACTGAAAATTATTGGCCATGGTATACAGCAGTAAGACTTTTCAATTTTATATATTAACTTTAACCTTTTTAGCTGCCTCCAGAACGGCATCCGAATTCATAAGCTTTTGTGCTTTCAGGCCAGTATTATATCTGGATGACTGGGGACAATATGAACAATCTTCACTGCACCCACCAGTCTTAATAGAAAGAAGAGTACACTGCTGCACTTCCCTGAAGTTGTGAGCATGTCTATGAACTTGAGCCTTCAAAAGCATAATCACCTCATCAATATCAAGTGTAACAAGACCCAAGAGTCAAAAAAATAAATAAATAAATAAAATAAAATAAAATAAAACACACAAACAAACAAAACAAAAAAAACAAAAGGAAATCCCCCACGTTTTTCATATACTACTTAAATTCTCAACAAGCAAGGACACACCCTCCACATGTCCAACATACCGTATGGTGTGCCCTTATCTTAAGTTTCTTTAATTCCTAAGAAGCAAGGTAAACAATCCTAACATGGTCAGCCACGACAAGCCCCAGCTCTTAGAACATAAAATTAAGAAAAAAATTAACATTTTTTATTTTTATTTTTATTTTTTATTTGAACATATAAAACATTTAATCATTTAAACTAAAGGTCAAAATACTGTGAGAAATTATATGTGCACTTTACGGCAGAATTTATTCTATATTTGCACGTGCACTTTCTGATACAAGAATATTTTTAATTTGTTGGTATTACAATGACAAAATACTACCCAAAGTGATCTTAGTGCGACATAAATCATTCCTCAAGTTCAAAAGATTTCTCCTACGATACTCAAAATTATAGCTAATAAGGTTATATAATTAAAAGGATCACAACTTCGAAACTAATCATTGACTCATTTAAATCACAGTAAGTTTGAGCCCAACTGTCCAGACTGACAGGGTGTAATAGAGTAAACGAACAAATTAGTCGAATACAGAGCAAATTCCCCGTTACATCAAGGTACAACATCTAGACAAGAAGATGCGAAATTTAATGCAAAATGTCCAACAAAAAACCAAAAATAAGAATAAAAATTGTAGATAACATACGGCATGAAAGAGGAGATCGAGGACAGGAGAATCATAAATGGACTTAATTTCTGGTCTACTCCAGTCATTTCTCGGCCCTTCTCTTATACTCCTCTCAGCTTCGACCGCCGCCACTGACGTCAGCGCCGTCGAATAACTGGCAGCATGAGAGTGGGGCAGCATCAACGAACGCCGTATAGATCTCGTAATCCACATCATTTCGCTGTAAAACTGCAATGCTGCTTGTATGTAGAGCTCAAATAATCAATCAATGCAAGTGATTATGAATTGAGGTCTTCTCGAGAAAGAGAGAGGTTTGGGAACTGGACCTCGTGAACTCCGCGAATTGAAGAAGATGGGAGTTAGGGCCAAACTCATCTGTTGCCACGTAATTGGAACTTGGACTTTAATAGTAGTGAATTTCATAAAAGACATTAAAAGAAATTAGGTTGCGGTTGGTTCGGCATTTTGAAACCTTTTTTCGTTTTCCATTTTTAAAGATGTGGAAAACGTGTTTGATTCGTTATTTTTTAAAATACATTTTCGAAAATGAGGTAAAATTTAAAATTGAAAATACGAAATAGTTTTTTATCGTTTTGAACGTTTACAGTTATAAATGTTCAAAATGCGGAAAATATCCAAAACGCGATGTTTTCGAAAAAAACTAAAAACCGTTTTAAAACCGAAAATGGAAAACAAAAAACTAAACCAACCGCAGAACTTTTTCCAGAAAAGGAAAAGGATCGTTCGTTGGTGCTTTTTTAATATCTCGGAATTCCTATTTGTCATCAGTAATGGTATTCATAATGAATACTATCGATAGTCGTTTGTTATTTAATATATGAGACTATAAAAATCTACCACAATAATATATCAAATAATTAATTTTCATGTGAATGTCACGTAAGGCAATTACCATCTTCGCCACGAATAGCATTACTATTGACAATATAATAAATAAGATTTAAAAAATTTTAACACTATTTTTTGTTAATCGGATCATAATAAAGATCCATATGATATGATTATGAAATTATTGAAAACAAGTCTAAATTGTAATTATTGTGAATAAAACTATTTTGGGATGAATTGAGTGGTACTCCTTTCATCCCACGAAAACAGTCTTGCTTCCATTTTCACAAGAATTAAAAAAAAAGTAATTAATATAGTTGAAAATATATTTTTTTCTTACGTTTTCCCTAATATATCCCCATATCAAATAATGATTTAAATAACAGTAATTCATATTTGTTGATAATAAGATAAGTTAAATATGAGCATATTAGAAAACTAAGAAATTAGTTATAGTCCATGTTTGATGGTCGTTATTTGAAAAAAAATAAAAATAAATAAGTATGAAAAAATTTTGAGTTTACGTGCAGAATATTTTATTGTATAACTGTGTGATTGAAAATAAATATGTAAAATAAAAAGTTTCAAAATAATGATTGTCAAATAAGGGATACTCTCAACAAGAAAAGAGTTATATAATTTGCAATAGACGAAAAGGAAAGCAAGTCTATTTTTCTTGCAACTAAATGAGTATATTTTTTCAAGATTGATTATTTAAAATTAAAGGAAAGAAGTTAAACAATGAGTTCAGCATTGTGTCCGGGCAGTTGGATTAGTTGCACTACCCAATATCCCCTTTTCTACCTTTTTTTATTTTTTTTATTTTTTAAACGCTACATGTACATCAAAATTTATATAATGTCTTACATAATGTGACATGCAATTCTATTGTTTGACAATTTAAAATATAGTTAGTTTTTTCATCCAATTTTTTCTCTTCACATCATTTCGATCACTTATGACCGTATTTCTTTGTACAAATAGCAAAATCCTTTTCTTTTTTTTTCTCTCCTCATCTTCATCCTTCGAATAAATAAAATAAAATAAAATTAATACTTGTAAAATGTAGGATAAATATATATGTACTGAAAATGGATTACCGAATTGCTGCCCTACGCTCACATGCGCACAGGCCCCGCGTGCATTTAAAAATTCCAACTTGTGGGGCCCGCCCTCCTATTGTGAGTGTAGATAAAATATTCGGTAAAAATGTGTAGGTAAGTGTAGCATTATCCTAAAATGTATATATCATAGAAGTCTTGACCAGCTAAATGTGACTAATCGAATGGCCAGTGTGTGTTTGGATCAATTAACAAGTGTTGTTGGCCTCAAACCTTCGACATCATATTAAAAGCTTTTTGAACATGATTCACTTTTGATGTCACTTGTAACATGTCCATCTCAATGCTAATGAGTTTAGCCACTATATCTAGACAACCTCAAAAAATAAGTTCGGCCCTTTTCGAATGTTTAAGAAGAGTTGAGTAGCGGCAAACCTATGACTTGGATAATTATTAGTCACGACCCTTTTCAAATGCTTAAGAAGGGTAGAGTAGTGGCAAATCTATGACTTGGATAACTATTAGTCATTGTTGTCATGATATCTACTAATCAAAAATCGTTATTGTGATAGAGACACGCTGATAAAGTTTAACTATTGTAGTTAGGAATAATTGTAACTGGTCAAAACGAAAATTCTAATTCATTAATACACTTTACTCTTGCATACCTCCATTCGAGTTTGAACGTAGCTTAGATTCAGACCTCTCATTTTTTCATCTATAATCTATAATATATTAAATATTACATCAAGTGAGAATTATTTTTTTGAACGATTTAGCCCCACTACAATTCAATTATTTTAATAATATCTAACTTTTCGTTTTTCAATATTTATTTAATTTACAAACTGTAATAGATATTACAAAATTCTTGTTCATGCATGCATGTATTCCCTATAATCATTTCTCAATTAATTAACATGCATGTTCGTTTAATTAGTGTTAATTAGAATTTCATATTCAAATTCACGTCTATATCATTGTTATTAATTCTCAATTAATTAATATTAATTAGAATTTTACATTCAAGAGTGAAGTTCATTATTTTCGTCCATATATGTTAATTAGCATCCAATCTCACTTAATCGAAAATTAAATTATATTCATCTAGTATAAATGGTTTAACATTCATTGTCACGTATGTGTTTCTTGGTATTAATTATAAATTAATTAACATTCTCGTTAATCCATGTATCATATTTGCCATTCATCTTCATTTATGCATTTAGTTATAATTCTAATACTCACATTTCAATGCATTTTACTATTTACTTGCACGTAAAATAATTTGCATTTCTATTTCAGAGAGATATATTTGGATAAAAAATGGTAAATGTGGATCAAATATTATTTTTACCGTACTTATAAAATATTACATAATAACGTATAACGCATGTTCAACATTAGCTTGTATTTTTTAAATTCTACTTTAAGTTGAACTGGTGCTACGTCAAGTTGAGCAAAGCTTCTTTTACAGATGACATACACAATGAAGTCAATGACGCGCAGCCAGCACGATTTCTGTAAAGCTATTGTCTATTTTTTCTATTTTTTTATTTTTTGCAATAGTTTTTGTTGGATAGAATCGCAATTTGAAAGAAAAATAATATTTTGCAGTATAATTGAAATAAAATAAAGCTATATGACCAAAATGAAACCAAGTTGTAATTGTTTTTTATTTTTCTTTTCTTTCTTTTTTTTTTCCTTACTTTTTCATTTAAAGATTAAGATAAATTCGTCATTTTATAAGACTTTAGTTGTGAAATTAGACAACGGGGTTATCTTGCACAACATTTGGTTAATTTGTGGTTGTATTATGTCAAAATGAAGGATGGAATCGAATCAATTGATTTACACAAAGCATAAAAGATATTAAGGGTACGTTCGGTTTGCATTTCTGTTTTCTGTTTCCTGTTTCAAATTAATTTTATATTTTCTATTTTAAGGGATTATTTTAAAATTACAAAAAATGCATTTGATTTGTCATTCGGAAAAACTGTTTCTCAAAAAAACAAAACCAGAAAACGTGTTTGGTTAAAAATTCTAGAAATATTTTTATGACTTTTTTCAATCAATTTGATTATTTAGTAAAACAATATCAATTTTATACTAATATGTTATCAAAAAATATAAATTTTAAAGTTGGTAAAAAAATATGGAATCATTGTAAGTTTGAGAAATAGTACCGGAGAGTTGGATTCTCTAGTAAGGTTCTTGGAGAAGTTTGGGGAGGGAGGCAGAGAGGGAGATCTGGATATTTGTATTTGGGTAGGTTTCATATAATTTTATTAATTATTTTAATTTGAAAAAAAAAAGTTCATTTTTCTTGTAATTTTTTTGAATGTTTTCAAAACATTAAAAGGTCATTTTTGAGGTTTATGTTGTAAGTTTTTTCTTGTTTTCGAAAATGCATTTTTGAAAATAACATACCAAAAACATTTTGAGTATTTTAGAAAACTAGAAGCTGAAAATGACCTCAAAACAGCAAATTAAACGCACTCTAATATTTTGTATCTGGTTATTTAGGGATGGCAAAAAAATCCGTCCCATCCTACCCCGACGGGATCCCGCCCCAAATGGGACAAAAAAACCTACCTCAAACGGGCTTGCTGGGCCCCTCGCCCCGTGAAGGGAAAAAAATTCAAAATAATTTTATCTCTAGACAATTCATCCATTGAAAACCCATTTTAAATTTATATTTTATTCTCTAATAATAACATAATTCGAAACTTTGAAAATGTAAAAAAAATAAAATTTAAACGGGACAACAAACGGGACAAACAGTTGCCCCGCATCCCGTCTAAGGTAGGGCTGGGCATGGTTCAGACCAAACGGAGCACGGTGGGGTGGGGGTGCCTCACCCCGTTGCCATCACTATCCCGTTCCGCCCCGTTGCCGTCACTATGGTTATTGATGTTCCACCAGCATAGCCAGTAATCATATTGTAGTTTCACCACGAAAAAAGTTATATTCTTCCAAAACTATGACAAATGTTATACAAACTCGACACATATTTTTCTTACGTCAAACCACAAAATTCTCAACAATAACATTTATAAGTAGGTGAAATTATAATTAATCACAACGAATGCAACGAAAATTTTCTATTGTCATATTGTTGGGACCAAACTAATTTTATAACTACGGGAAGTTTATCACTTAATAAAGGAGTAATCACAAAAATTATCATTTAAACTCAATTATTTTGCAAGTGGTATAGAGGTACAGTATGCTCTATATTATTACAATTAATTAAGAGACGACGTCAAATTCAAGTATATACAATGAGAAAATAGATCAAACATAATTTCAAAAAACTAATACATGTATCTAGTACAATGAAAATATGTTAAAGTCATCTTAAAAGTATAAAATTTTATAACCTTTAATTTTTATTTTATTTTCAATGTTAATTCTACAAATACATTGTATGTAAGGCAATCCATGTAATTCTCAATAAATTCAAGTGATACCTTTCCTTATTCCTGTAGCA